TTTTTCTATAAAATTTCTCAAGTTTTATTTTATGATAACTTTTTATTTTATTGTATATATAAAATAAATTTTTTTTTTATCAAATACTTTTTCATATATTTTATATACATGAATATTTTCTAATACTCATTAACTCGAATTTCTAATAATTCGAATTTTTATATAGAATCGAATTTATATTTATCTGCGAATTTCTATAAAACAGAATTAATATTAAATCGAATTTTTTATAGAAGTTAATTTTTATGTTTAAAAGAATTTTTTTTTTTTTAATCGAAATTTTCTTATATGGAATTTAATTTTAAAAAATAGAATTAAAAAATCCAATATTTACAAAAAAAATTTTAAGGAGATTCAATCCATATTAACATAACCTCGAAACTAAAAAGTAGTTTTAAACAGAACTAAAAATATATTTAAAATTTATTACACCCAAATTCGACAGATCGAATTGTACAATTTTGGAAAAAAATTATTTTCAGTTAAAATTTGTTGTTAAATAATAATTAATAAAGATTTTGTATTTTTTCTTAAAAATTAGTGAACAATTATAATTTTTATTCAATTTTTATAAACAATGGCTCATTTTTCTCTTTTGAAAGATTCTCTAAAATTCTGATTTTGTGTTTTTGTTAAAAAATTAATGGTCCGCCATTTGGAATTTCGAAAAACTAACTTCAGATTCTTAATCAGCGACCCCAAAAACCCCCGAGTAACAATTTTCAAGCCGATACGAATGATTTTCATTTTTTCGTCCGCCATATTGGATCCGCCATTATGAATTTTGTAAATCTAACTTCAAAATTTCTAAAAAATCATTAATTTTCAAAAAATTTGTCCTCCATTTTGAATTTTCAAAATCTAACTTCAAATTCGTAATCAGCGACCTCAAAAACCCCTATATTCCCAGTTTCATATAAATCCATCAATTTAAAAAAAAATCCTATATCCACTAAAAATTTTGAAATGTTTTTTGAGGTTAGGAAGAAACGTACACGTGCAGGAGCTGTGTTATTATTTAACAAAAAATTTTAACTCAAAATAATTTTTTTCCAAAATTGTACAATTGAATTTGTCGAATTTGGGTGTAATAAATTTTAAATATATTTTCAGTTCTGTTAAAAACTACTTTTTAGTTTCGAGGTTATGTTAATGGGTTGAACCTCTTTAATGTGAAGTGAATTGAATTATTTGACAGAATTTTGTAATATATGTGACAGTCCCCGAGAGAAGGGACCTTAGCTCACCAAAACGAATTTCACAGGGCAAGCGTTTGAAGAAGAAGCAGAAACGCGGAACTCGAAGAGTGGGGCGGAACTTCTGAAAAGTCCCCCCACCACACTAACACAACGTTGTGTTTCTGTATACGTGAGCTTCGTCTACTTCGTGTATCTTCGGGTCTCACGTACGCGAAGCTCACGTACGCGAGAGTATAGTTGTGTAAGTAAAGTAGTGGGGCTGATTTCTTGAGTGCCACAATCCGCCTCGAAATGCGCTTGACATACCCATCTTCAAAATGTTATTGTGTCAAAAGAAATTATCCTAATCAGTTTTTGACTTTTGCATGTGAAAAAGCAATTCAAAATCTATCATTTACCATATAAAACTCAATATTGACCTCTGGTGAGCTAAGGTCCCTTCTCTCGGGGACTGTCACATATATATATTTTTTTTGAAGATAATAAAGATTTTTATCAATTTATTTATTAATTTAATAATTTTTTTATTATCAAATAAATAAATTATTATTGAAGAGTTATAAATTATTGCCAAACGGAGTAATTGAAATAGAGATTTGATAAAATTATTGTTGGCAACATAACCTCTAAAGACACGCGTTATTTTTGTTACGTTTTATGCGCAGAAACTACAAAGAATTTTTTTTTCTTTAGTAAAAATCAGAACAAAAGAAAGTAAATTTTTATATTTTAATACTTAATTATATTGAATTTTAATCATATCGAATTTTAAAACATGACAAATTTTGTTTGTTTTCTTTTGAATTTCTATCATACGGTTTTCCAAATCACCATTTATATACACAAAAGCAAGAACAATTTTAGTGATAAAAATTGAATGAAAAGCTCAACGTAAAAAATATACAAAAATAAATTTTAAATTGAATAAAATATAATAGTATTTTATAATAAATATTTACTTACAAATTAAATGAATTAATTGAGACGACACCGATATGACAAATTATAATTTCAATTTGATTGAATTTGACACATTTTTGAAACACAGATTTACTAAACTATATAGATTAGAAACACGCACTTTTGCAACTGATACCTGATGCCGTGATGCGTTTACAGAAACGAATCAATGAATTTTGATTGGCTTAGAGAACAATTGAAATGAAAGATTTTAATTGGACATGATAATTTTTTCGTTTTTACATTTGTAAAATTTACATAATAAAAAAATTTCAACGAAAATTTATTTAAAATAAATAAAAATTTATTTAATTTTTCTATGTTTTTAAAAAATTCCAAATTGCCAGAAACTCTGAATAAAATAAAAAATTCGATTAAGTGTACTACAGTCACGTGGTGCAGATTCGCGGATTATCAGAATAAATTTCAACCAATCAAAATTTAGTCTCTCGTGGAAATTGTTATTTTGCCGCAAGGGAGTGCATTTTGATTGGTCGATGTCTACTTCGCTTCATGTGATAATAGTAATAATAATAATAATAATAATAATAATAATATTAAATTAAATAAATAAATTTACTAATTAAATTAAATATTTTCTATTGAATAAATAACTTCGTTTTAAAAACATTCTATTGTAAAAAACTCAATATTAATAATGAATTTTATTCTGATGTCCGTTACTGCGAAGCGCTCTCTGTCGAAAATTTTTTGAACTTTTGAAAGTAGGATTTTTGTCCAGTTAAAACCAATAAGAGTAATTTTTAGACACAGTGGCGAAAAATGGTACTACTAGAATAAAAATGCTAACGGACTAAAAATACATCAAATATTAATAAAATAAATAAATAAAATGCCTCCAGCGGACATATAAATAAATTTCTGATGTTAAATACAAGAATTCAATCTAATAAATTAATAAATTAGTTTTTCGTTTTTTTTTAAATTTAATTTAATTAATTTAAATTTTAATTCATTTTTATAAATTCTCGAAATTTTTCATTTCGCAAATTAAGTTCTTTATGTACTTATATTTGTATAAAGTTATAATGATAATAATTCAACAGTATTAATTCATTAACTTAAGTTTCTGATTTCGGCACATTCTTGATTACTGATAATTCAGAGGTAAATAGTCTGGCCATTTTAAACGATTTAATCGCTTCGTGGAAAGACTTGCGTTTACTGTAAATGCGTGCTTACGACTGATTCAGAGCTCGTTAGCGGAGCCTATACTATATATATATATATTCTTTTTCCTGAAACTTAAATTCTCTTAACCAAAAAAAAGAAAGAGCAAAATGAAGAATAAAAAAACTTTTTTTCTCATAATTACAAAATCTCATAATAAAAAAGTGAATGAAAATGATTTATTTCGATTTTGCTTGAAAATATATATTAATTACTGTATTTAAAAAAAAGTTGACTATCTTCTATAAAATTAATTATTTTTTTTTTAAAATTTTCATTAATAAATTTTTAAAATTATAATTTAATTAAAAAATAAATACGAAGGGATATTTGAATAAAAATTTAAATAAAAAGACCATATTTTTTTTTTTCAATGTATCATCATTATTAATCGTTCACCGCCGTTTCTTGAGACATCGTTATATTGACAATTCATCTATTTACATTGTAATAATATTAATAATAATATTAATTTTACACTACTACAAATATACACATCTGGCTCTTTTTTTTTATACAAAAAAGGTATACTCGAAGTCTTTACAATATTCGCCTTATAACTTATTGCGTTTAAAGGAATACAATTCTCTTGTGAAAGTCGAAGAGATGACGGTTTTATTTTTATTTAATTTTTTTTTTTCAAGACAACAAAAGGGATAAAAAAATAATTTAACGAAATACAACTATACAAGACTGTCAAAAAAAAAAAAACAATGTATAAAAAAAGGTGACTAAATTTGTCAATTGAAAAAAATAGAGTAACAAAAAATAACAAAAAATTCACATTGAAGCAGTTAAAAATATTGTTACTTTAGAGAAATATTTCGCTGTGACAGTAAAATATTTTTATCTGCTCAAAGTGAATATTTTTCTTTCTTTTTTTTTTTGTTATTTTTTGTACTAATTTTCAAATTGTAAACATGATTTCAGTTTGTGACAGATGATCAAGCCTGTTTTAGATGATTTTTTTTTGCTTTTCAATTAATAAATTTTCTTAAATAGAAACATCATTGAAACTTTGTTCATCGTCGTCACCGTCATCTACATCGTCATCAGCATTATCACCTTCGGCATAATCTATCATCTTCATCATCATTATCATAAATAAATAATCATCAAAAATCGCTCAATAATAACACAATGATCGCTTGTCATACAATTATGATACTCCAAGGCAGCAAATTTTTTTTTTTTTCATTTTCTTTCAATTTCTCTAAATTCATCTATAAATATAATATACACATTTATGTATATATATTTATTTATAAGCTAAATACTATATTTAAACATTCGCTGCAGTCTTTCCGATAATAAATGCGTGAAGTCGCGAGTCATTAGAACGAGAGAAAAATAATAATCACATTCTAATGACTCGCGCGTTATAAAAAAAAAAAAAAATTACGGAACTCTTTGATTAATATCACCCTCAGATTCCTTCACCTCTGATTAAAATTTACCACCAGGGGAAATTTTACTCAACGGCGGAGAAATTGATTTTCGAGTTCCCAAACTAACAAAAAAAAAAAAAAAAAAAAAAAAGGAAAAATAATTGAAAGTTCACAATTTGAAAAATATTTTTTTGCTGCCTTCGAGATCATCGACATTTGTAAGTGATTTTTTTCGCGTTTTCGCTGTGAAAATTAGTGTATATTTCGTTTTATTTTTTTTTTTTATTTTTTTTTTTTGTTTTTCACAGCGAAAACGAGAACATTAAACACATAACACAAACAAACATATAAATGGGACTTTGGAAACATTTGTGCGCACAATTATTTTGTTTGTTTGCTTTTTTCAAAATTATTCATTTTCACGTATATAACAAAAATATACGTGAACACAAAAAATTTACCGAATTAAACTCGGTATTGTCATCAATTAATTTTTTTCCAAAAAAAAAGAGAAAAAAAAATGGTGAGCAAACATTTTGATTTGGGGTCAAAAAATTGAAAAAAAAAAATTTCTTTTCGAAAAATCGACATTTTTTACAAAAAAAGAAGGGGAGGGTAATCTTTCGAAACACACACGTCTCAAAAATCAAATTTGGAATTCATCAAAATTTGATTCTTGAGGAACAATTTGTAAAAATTGTACAAAAAAAAAATTTACATTAATTATTATTTAATAAATAATCATTATATTAATAAAAAATAATATTAATCGAAGAAATATTATTTGAAGAAAAAAATTAATAGGAAAAATATTAATAAAAAAATATTATTAATAATGGAAATATCATCATTAATATAATCTTATATTAAATAATAATTGAATTGATGTGAGCGATGCGCTTCGAAAGTTACGTATATATCCCTTCACTCAGCTTTCTCATGATTTATTCAATACTGTCGAAATAAAGAAATTCAAAAAGAAAAAATCCTTCTAAAAAAAGTCAATTACAAAAAAAAATATATATATCGCACTATAATCTCTATTTCTCATCATCGCATCATTATTCATTCATAGATATTTTTTTTTTTTTTCATTCTTAATTACTGGAACATAATGTGTGTGTGTATGTATGTATGTGTGAAGTGTTTGTGTATGTGTGTGACATAATGTGACAATAATATTTAATAGCGTTCACAGTAATAGTAAATAACAAATATAATAAATTAGTTCTGTACAAAAGTGCTTCGAGCATGATAATATTAATACTTATAAACGGACGGGGCGCGCGACCCCCACAGCATTCTTCGCTCTTTCGTCGCTTTTTCTCTAAAAATTTTCATTTTTTTTATACCAAGTCGTTTTGCAACAAGCCTCGTTCTCGTTGCAAAATAGAGTTTAACAGCTTTCGAGAGCAGACGTACGAAAAAAAAAAAAACGGCGCGCATTCACTCTTTAAACGTCGACGAATCAACACAAACACACCGAGAACACATTTGCCGCTCTTATTTTCTTTTATCGTACTACACAAAAGAAAAAAAGTCTTGAGGATTTAATTTTTTTTTTTTTTTTACTTTTTTGTTTTTATATTATAAATATAGTCTATAATTTCGGCTACACTTCAGTTGCGAGTGTTGCCGCGAGAGCCGCGTCATGCCTATAATGATCGTCTATCACGTAAACACCGCATCCACTTTCTGAATTGGGTCCACTACCACCACCACCACCACTGGGTGGACTTCCATCCCCCAGCGTACTCGGCCTTTTTAATAATGCCGCCTCCCCACAACAAGAGTCCGATCCAACTGTTCCTCCCACTGTTGGATTTCCGGCAAAAACGGATGTCCTCTTTGATTCCATAACACTGCATTCTTTTTCCTTTTGAAAAAGATGCGATGCACGATGCGCAGCAGCTTCCGTATTCAGCTGCTTTGTCGATCTCGATCTTCCATCCTGAAGAACAGGCTCAGGCTTATAACCCGAGCACGAGCTATCCTCAGTTTGAAACGAAGAATCAAGATCCTCTCTCACCGATGCATTATTAACACTTTTATTTGCTGTCCATGTATTTTTAATCATATGCGCATCACCAGCGCCAAGTGTACAAACACTACCAATTCCATTGCCATTACTCAATAAACCACCTACATTGCCATTTCCAATAATACCAACAGTATTACCACCGCCACCGCCAATACCACCACGTTTACTCATACTGCTGTGCACTGCATTTCTTTCATTTTGTAAACGCGCCTCCTCATCAGCCTTTGCCTGTTCCCTCTTCTGTCGACTCTTCATACACATCACCGCTATTGCAGCCACCAAAACAAACGCCGGCACTGCCGTCGATAATGTTGCAATAACAACAACATGCTCCGTTGTTAAACCCTCATTTCTTGCCTCAGCCGATGCAACATGCTTCGAAAGATTTCCCGACCAATAACTCGCACCCGATGGTGGTACATTTATAGCCGACGATGCCACCGCCACCGCTGAACCCTCCTCAGCGCAAGTATCACCACGATAACCCTCTGGACACTCGCACAAAAATCCATTCACCACATTACGACAACTCCCACCATTTTGACAAGGTCCACTTTTACATTCATCGACAAAAATACTACAATCCTTACCAGTGAAACCCGCTTTACATTGACATTGATAATCATTTGTACCCGATATACATTTACCACCATTTGCACATGGTTTTGTTTGACAATAATCAACTTTATCCTGACATAATCGTCCAACAAAACCCGGTACACATAAACATCGAAATTGATTAATCATATCCTTACAAGTCCCTCCATTTAAACATGGATCACCCTGACAGTCGTCAATATTAATTTCACAACGTTCACCACTAAAACCCAATGGACAACTACAATTAAATCCATTGACCATATCACTGCACGTTCCACCATTTGAACATGGATTTGGTGCACATTCATCGATTTGCAATTCACATTCATGACCAGTGAAACCCGGTGGACACAAACAGGTATATCCTCTCAATGAGTCATCCTCACATGTTGCACCATGTGAACAAGGCATATCACGGCAAGATCTTGTACTAATTTCACAATGACGACCACGCCATCCCGCTGGACATGTACAACGATAAGCACGTTGTGAATTTATTTTTCCAATTGCCGTTGTCTCATTACCACCACTACCACTATTTCCACGTTGTTCCATACTGCACAGACCACCATTTAAACATGGTTTTGCGTGACAATCCAAAAGTGATTTTTCACAATCAGTCCCAGTAAAACCAGGAGCGCATGAACATGTATAAGAACCTTGTCCCGTGTTAAAGCATGTCCCATTGTTCCGACATGGTTTATGATTTGTACAATAGTTGAGATCCTGATTACAGAATAGACCACCCCAGCCCTCATCGCAAAGACACTCCCATGGCTTGTGACAAATTCCATGCTTACAACCAGGATACATTTCACACTGATCGCAAAATGGTCCTTTCCATCCTGTATGACATCTGAAAAACAAAAATAAAAAGGACTCATTACATTTTTGCAAAAAAGAAAGAAAAAAAAAGGATGTGGTCGGCCATTACGTTGTCCAGGGGATCCACAGAACCGTGACTCGCGAATGGAGAAGGGAATGGGATGAGAGGCAACCAGAAGAGAGAGAGAGAGAGAGAGAGAGAGAGAGAGAGAGAGAGAGAGAGAGAGAGAGAGAGAGAGAGAGAGAGAGAGAGAGAGAGAGAGAGAGAGAGAGAGAGAGAGAGAGAGAGAGAGAGAGAGAGAGAGAGAGAGAGAGAGAGAGAGAAAGAAAGAGATGAAACGCGAGAGAGAGAAATTAAAGAGCAACAGTGAGAGGGAAAGAGAGAGAGAGGAAAAAAGAGCAAGAGGAGGCAGGACCCAAAGAGTGGGGATGAGTCGTCGAGTGTTCCCACGGTTCGAGGCTCGGCACAGCCGTTCAGTATGCGGGTCAAGGAAAGGTTACGCTCCTCTGTGTGTGCGCGGCTCGCTCTGCCCACTAATACCATCGCCACTCATCGTATGTTCCTTCTATCTCTCTCTCTCTCTTTCTCCATACACTATTAAATACAAACACACATATACGAAAACTCAGGTAAAGTCAAGCGAAACCGGCCGAAGCATCACGAGAATTTAACCGAACCGGGTGCAACCACGCGGGTGTCGTCTCCTTTCTCTCTCTCTCTCTTTTTCTCTTTCTACGCCAATGTCGTTGCACATTACAACCTTTTATTCATCAGTATTCAAGTTGATGACAAGTTCGCCGATAGACTCCGAAATTTTCATGACGATTCCTCCACGTATAATCTGAATGGGGCCGATCCCACGGTTTCTAACCTCACGTAATATGCGTTTCCGCGTAATCAGAAAGGATATGTGTGACGACCAATATAATTGTTTTTTTTCTTTTCGCGAAAAAAAAAAAAATGCATTTTTAGAGTGTATAATTTTGATTTTTAAGAATTTTACTATACCACAGTGGAAAATTTATCATTGGTAAAAGAGTGAATAATGGACCATTATTGGTCCTATAATGGCCCAATATGGCTACACCCAGAGAAATGATATATTTGTCTCACTATTTAATAAAATAAATTATATTTATTTGTGTGAGGCTATTACTGTAAGACAAATATACGTTTATTTAACTCAATTATATATTATATTTGAGTTCAAATAAAACATTTCTTTTGGGTATACTATTGTCAATTTCCCACTGGGATGTATTTTTACAAGAGTTGATAAGAATGTTGAAAGAAAAAAAATTTATAAGTTATATTTACAACAGTTTTACATTGATTAAAGGTACTTGGCCCATATTAACATAACTTCAAAGTTTGAAAATTGTTTTTAACAATAAATAAAATTAATTCTCCCAAATTTTAAAAGTACGATTTTCAAAATAAATTATTTTGGACAAAAAATTATTTTTTTTTTTTGGACCAATTTTTACTTTTTGATTTAAAATTTTCATTAAATTTTCTACTTTTAAACGAATTTGTTAGAAATAAAATTTTTATTTAACACAATTTTCATCATATAAAATTCTTAAAATGACAAATTATAATTGTCTGTGAAATTACAAATGACCGAAACAAAAGATTTTGTCGCAATTTTTAAAATTCCCCCCGCAATTACAATTTGGACAATTTTTTAAAAATCGCGCCAAAATCTTATATACTGTTGATTGTTTTTTTATTCGGATAATTTGCAATTTCGGAAAAATATTAAAATTCAGTACCTAAAAATTTGTTTTGAATAAAAATTCTGTCAAATACGCTATATATAATTCGAAAAATGAAAACTGACTAATTATTATACTTATAATATTAATTTTTAATTTATGCGAAAATAAGTAAAATTTTAGTAAAACTATTTTATTAATTAATTCAATTAGTGAAATTTGACTATTTTTCTTATTTAGTTATTTTTTGACTAATAATTAATTAGAAATTGGTTAGTAACATAACTTTAAAATAAAAAAATTATTTTCGACTATTTATTTTTTTGCGGCAAATATACAATATCATTTTTTTCTGAAATGTGTGTTACTAAATCTGACAAAATTGATTATAATTAAATTATCATTATTAATATTATTATTACTATTATTATTATAATTTTTGTTGTTATTATTATTATTATTAATTAAATTTTCTAAAAAAATTTTGTTTATGTTAAAAATAGTTTTTTAGTTTGAGGTTATGTTACACATTATCACATTAAAATGGAAAATACGAATTGAAATAAGAAGAATCCAAATTGTTTTTTTTTTTTTTTTTTTTTTTTTTTTTTTTTTTTTTTTTTTTTTTTTTTTTTTATTTTAAGTGAGTATATGTAAGTTCCATGACCTTTTTTTGGAAAGTGACCCCCCTAGAAAATGAAACACCGGATACTGTATATGTATCTACATATATACTGACAAATATTTCATTAAGGGTCTATTCATTAATTTGATACAATTTAAAAACCTGAACCCTGGACCTCTAATCCTAATCCATCATCATCATTATATTCTCTTTAATTCATGAGTCAGAAATATATATCTTGAAAAGTTGAATAAAACTTTAAGGTTCTGACAAGATTCAAATCCTTTGTCCCTCAAGAATAGTCTCATCAATCTAGTAAATTAATCTTGATAAAAGATATATAGTTAAATTTCAAATTTTTGTATTCGAGCTTTCGTTTCGAAAAAAATTTCCCCGAAAAAAATTATTTTTCAAATAACCGTTGACATAAATAATTATTTTTAAATTTCTCCGAAATAAATAAAAAAAATATTTTCTATAATTTTCGGAAAAAAAAAAATAACTGAAGTGAAAAAAAAAACACGTAAAGTTCCAGAGCGGTCAATGGGGATGAGTCATTCTTGCATACATACATACATACATATATATATATGACTTTATGAGAGAAAAAGAGAAGGAGAGAGAGAACATTGGCTAGAGATTACCAAGTATTTCTATATAATACTCTTCAAATTAACTCCACACGTTTTATTTCATGACGGAAACTTTCAAGAGTGAGAGAGAGAGAGAGAAGACACGGAGAAGAAATATTCTAATTAGAAAAATTGAAGTTAACACATTTTTTATTTCTTTCTTTCTTTTTTTTTTGAGAAGAAAAAAAAATAAGAAAACCTCTCGATAATGAAGATTGTGTATATATTTAACTTTTGAGTTATACCGTAAAGGAAGCGATATTAAGTAAACTTCTCCTAATCAAATAAAGAAAGAGAGAGATAGATAGAAAAAATCCACTTCATAGGAATCGACACTTATACACTATAAATTCCAACGTATAACATGAACGCAATAATTGGTCGAGTGATGATCAACCATTAGAAGATGAAAAAAGAAAAAAAAAAGATAAAAAAAAAAAAAAAAAACTCGTGTCGGCATTGAGTTTGTGCTCATAAATTAAGTCTTCGTCATGTCTATTACGAATATTGCCTATAAGCGTCATTCGATCACCTATAATATTCTAACCGGAGGGGAATTTTCGTTTATTTTCTGCAATTGGTTCGCTTTTCAATTGATTTATTTATAAATCCACTTTTCTTTTTTTTAAAATTTTCCATAATTATTTTTTCCTTTTCAATTTTCTATATTTTTTTTTCTTTTTCAATTTTCTATATATATATTTTTTTTTAAATTTTCCATAATTTTTTCCCTTCTTTTTAAATTTTTCATAATTTTTCTTCCCTTTTTTAAATTTCCCATACTTTTTTGTCCAGTTTTTAAATTTTTTAAATATTTTTTCCCCCCTTTTTTAAATTTCCCATAATTTTCCCAGTTTCTTTAATTATACATTAAGAATAATTTTGAAAACTCGAAAATTTTACATAAAAAAATAAAAAGAAAAAACGTAATATCTTGCTAAACGAAAACTAAAATATCTTTTCTTAAGTGGCTACCTAGATTTAGTAAAATTTAGTATTGTAATTTTTAGATTTAGGAGTACTTTTGTACGAAAGGGCATGTCCCGTTATGTTTCAAATAAATAAATAAATAAATAAATAACCTTAAAATTTACTAAAAACAAGAAACTTTCTTTACTAAAAAATTTTTGTAAGGATATTTAGAATGCGCATGAGTCTTTAAATTCAAAAAAAATATTTCAAAATTAAAATAATAATAATAACAGTAAAAATAATTTACAATAATAATAATAAAAAAGAAAATTAACTAAAAACGATTAAAAGGATTTAAAAAAATTCGAAAATATTTCAAACTCAAATTTGTAACAAGATACAAGAACAAAACATTAAAACTTCAAAAAAAAAAGAATTCAATTGGACGAGAAAATAATTTTCCATCGAACCTTTTTTTAATTTAAATAAAAATAAATTAAAAATATAATAAAATGCATAAATAATAATAATAATAATAATAATAATAATAAATAAAATATTGTAAATCTATTGAAAAAACGCCAATTACAGATAATTTTCCAAAAGGAAAAAAAAATTGATTTCTTATATATATAGAAATTGACTTGGAAATAGGGAAGGAAAGTGATGTGGAATAAAGGTCAAAGAAGATATAAACTGAAAATTCAGACTCAATTCTTGAATAAAAGTTTCTCAACACTTCCCACGAGCGTCAGTTTAACATCTAACATACCAGTGGTATCAAATCGATATATACCGAATACGAGCATTGAAATTGTTGTTATCGTTCTCACCTCTCAGTGAGGGAACTATTAACCAAGGTGTATTTATATTATAAATATGGAAGGGGCAAAATAATAGAAGATAAAGAGACACGTATATATATATATACATATATAGTTAAATGTCAGAATAAGAATAAGAAGTAAAGAAGACGAATGAAAGAGAGACGAACGTCAAAACGTCGTTTGAGGCAAAGCTCTCGAGGTTATGCAGCTAACGGGACAATTAACCTCGGCCGTGGAGTAATTAGATGATCGAGTTAAATTCAAAGCTCGGGTTAACGGCGCAAAATGGAACCGAGATTTTTATCGACGTTATTTATATATAAATTTTATATCGTACCGCGACAATAATTCATCTTCTTAATTTCCCTCGCATATATTCAAAAAATTATTCTTTTCCGCAAAAAAAAAAAAAATTATAAGATATTTATCGAATAAAAAACAAATAAAATAGATTTACTATTATTTTTCTTTTTATATATATATAAAAAAATGTACATTAAAATACCAACGTGCACTTTACATAAGCTTCTGATTATTCGAAGCTTTTGCAGAAAATTTTCTCCCTTGAGGAAAAGAGTAAGAGAGAGAGAGAGAGAGAGAGACACCGCGCGTAGAGGCTGAATCAGCGTTTAAGTGCAGCCAAGTACTGCATTAATAGGCTTTTAATTCCTTTCATATCTCTTTGATCTCACCGAGCAAAATGCAAGGTCGTTTCATATTTCATTTCAATGAATTTCACATTTTTTTTCCCCCCCTCTTAGCTTTTCCCTTTTAACCTTTTCTATATAAAAAAAGAGATTCTTGAATTCTTAAATATATTATTTGAATTTCCTGCATTCAATGAATATTTACACTAAAAGAGAAAGAGAGAATCTAAAAATTTACTCAACTTCCTTCTCATTCGGTAATTTAGTAAAAAAGATTCTTTATATATATAATGGACAAATTTTGTTCTTTTAATCATAAACATTCCTTCACTGGAAGTGCAATTATAAATTTTTGATATTTTTTTTTTTCCACTAAATGATATATAAACGATAATAATCTAATTAGTCTATAATTGGACTAATGATGTATTATTTTTCAGATTATCAAATCACTTTAAAATAAATACTCTTTATAATTATCTATAAACGACGGAAAAAAAAAAAAAAATTTTAATCTCTAAATTAGATGTATATTTAATGTGAGAATTTAGCATAAACTTTATTTTTTGAAAAGGAAAAAGATTTTTAATACTAATTTTAAAAATTTTCAGTTATGTCTGTTTAAAATAATAAATAAAATAATGTGAAGACATAGGTACGCAATTTTTATGTCAAAAATGATATTTTAAATCTATTAATTAATATTATTATTATTAAAAAAAAAAAAGGCAATTTTATTCAAAAATGCTTTAATTGCTTACAGATGCTAAATGATGTTTGCTATCGGATGTATCAAAATTAGTAACCACAGCTAAATTTTTTGCTATGACAACGAAAAAGTTTGCTGTAATAAACAATGTCAGTGTTAATTTTTAAAAAATTTACTATCACCGCAAACTTTTTTGACCCCACGGCAAATTTTTTTTTTTTTTGTCTCTATATATAAGCTATAAATTTGATGTGACAGCTAATAGTTCGCTGCCACAGCAAATTTATAGCTAATATATAGAGACAGCGAAAAAATTTGCTGTGGGGTCAAAAAAATTTGCTGATATTTTTTATTACAGCAAACTTTTTCGTTGTAATAGCAAAAAATTTAGCTGTGGTTACTAATTTTGATAGATTTAATAACAGACATCAGTTAGCATCTGTAAGCGCAATTACAATTTTTTTCTGTGTATTGGTATTAATTTGATATAACTTTTGGTATACGTAGAAAAATGGAAAAACGAATAAATTAACTTTTACTATATATATATATACTTTAAAAGTAGAATCTGAACTATCCGCAGTTTCTGGCCATTTTTATTCAAAAAAAAAAGAAAAAGTAAAATTTACTCCTGAAATAGTAAATTTTACTGTTTCTGGAGAATAAAAATGACTAGAAATGAGCGGACAGTTCAGATTATACTTTTAAAGTATAGAAGTATAGTAAAAGTTACTTTATTTGTTTTTCCATTTACTTTTAAATTAACCATAATTCTATTTTTTAAAAAACAGAAAAAAAAATTGTCCATTTAAAGAGAATTTTTACGATTTTTTTTTTAAATTCGAAATGAGAATCAAGAGTTAGGATTCCAGGTTTTCTAATTAAATTCCACACTCTTTTGAATAAAAATGTGAATGGAGAAAAAGGGGGACCAGAGAGGAACGGAGGAGGGAGGGGAGGGGGGGGGAAGGGAGTGAGTTGCAGGTTGGAGTTCGCGTCACGATTTAGAACCCGGGGAGAATGTTCGCGTTAACCCGGCGATGTGAGGTAAATCAAAGAGAGGCGAAGAAGAAGAAGAAAGAAAGAAGAAGGAAGGATCGGGGATCGCCACCGCGCGAGAGTAGCGACGGAAACGATTCGAACGCTTCGAATTCTTCTTCGTCCTGCTTTTCTCGACAAGCTTTTGCAAAGAAGAAGAAGAAGAAGACGACGACGAAGAGGAAAAAAAGAAGAAGAAAAAGGTATATATATATATATATAGTGGTGGGAGTAGCCACATTGCAGAATGTAATACCGGTACAGGAGGTATATACTCACATGCATTCGTTGGGTCGATTGCAGTGTCCGTGTTGCTCGTCGCATCCGGGCAGGCAGCTGGCTGAAACGAACAAGAAAAAAATTCAAAGGTTAAGGCAACTCTCCACAAGAGGTCGATCGCGTCCCTCACGACTGGTAAGAGAGCGATACAATGCACTATACAGTAAAGCACAGCACGCCTCATTAATTCCTCAGATCAACTCTTTAAAAATATCTTGGCCTTTTTTTTTTTGTACAATTTTTTTTTTTCCGAAAAATTACTTTTAATTAAAACTTCATTTAATTAAACTCCCTTGCGGAGAAAGGTGAAAAAAAAAAATGTTACAAATTTTATTTTTCTATGGAGAAAATAATTTTGGAATTTATGGGATCCTTGTGTAATAACATAATCAAAGAAATATTAATGAGACGTGCTTGTGTTAAAAAAAAAAAATATCTCCGCGTGGTATGTCGGTGAAGAAAAATATTTTTTTTTAAAGATTGCAATACTACTGCAGCAGCGGTAATGAAATTGTGTCACGTTTAGAGCCGCGCGCTTGTCCAGTCCGCAAATATCCAAAGGCTCGTTTGGCTCGCAGCCACTCGCAGTTACATTTATATTGTATGTATATAGATATATATATATAAAGACTTCCCAATACAATTCTCATAGCCTATATGACTTTTTCCTTGGTTCCGGAATTATGTGAGGAAAATCAATAAAAAAAAGGGGGCAAAATAAAGAAAAATGCAAAAAAAAAATTATGTTAAAAAAAGAAGATAATAAAATATAATATTCAAAAAAAAAGAAGAAAATGCGAAAAAAGAAAGGGAAGACATAAAAAAGAGGGGTTAGAAAAAAAGAGCAAAAATAAATTGTTAGCCGCATCTTCAACATGATTAAATTAATAGTCATTGTGGGACATCTTTTATATGTTTCTCGAGTTCTTATATATATATATACGACGCACCGACAATGAAAACTAATCATTTGAATATATCTTGCGACTTTTTTATGACTAATTAAAAAGATTAGAATCCAAGAATTTTGGTTTTTTGTTTTTTAATGTCCAAGTCTCAATCAATTATATAGAAATTTTTTCGAGTTCAAAAACTTAATTGTCCAAGTCTCGCAATTTTTTTCAACGACCACAAAATAAAACCTTCAATTAATTATATAGATATGTATAAAGAAATTAAATTACCAGAAATTTGATATATTTTCACATAACCTATATATATATAAAAGTGAAATTAATTAATAATTATAGTTATATTTTTATTCAAATGGCACACAAAAATAATTTATCAACAGAAACAAAATGGACAAATTTGATTGATTGTCCACTAAAGATTGTGGATAACCAATCAGATTTCTGAATTTTTTTTTCTTTCGATAAACGTGTCCCTTATACATTTTACTAAACATATAGTGCATTATTTAACTGACTAGTTAGTCCAAAAGTACATGACATTTGTATTTCAATTTCTAAATCTCAAAATAGTTTCTTATTCCGAATAACAACAATCGCGAAAATTGAAATAATATATCGTCTAGGGTAAAAATAATGAAGATTCTCCAATTTCTAAATCGTGTGTAGGCAAAGACATTTTCCGCGGTAGAGATTGAAGACAATTGTATATATATATATATATATGTAGGAATATGGTAGAAATCGTCTTCGGTTTCGATTCATAATGAAGGAAGAAGCTGTGAGTACACATATAGAAGATGCACACAAGATCGGTACACATATATACACCAAAGATCGTGCTTCATGGCATCGCTGTGAAAACGGACAACCTCGTGCGATACATGTATAGAGGATTCCACAAGTCGATGCGAACACCGTCATGAACCTCTCTCAGAATATATATATATATATATATACGGAACTCGCTTTCTTGAAGGATATTCTTTTTTCAAGAGAGTATCTCTCTCCCTCTAATGAACCAAAGGAGAAAGTCATCGTCGAGAGGCCTTTTGCTTGCAAATAAATAAATTCTCCTCTATAACGCGGAGAGCATCGATTAGATATTCTAGAATTATATACCCATCCCTCGGAGAAATCGACACAAAGTCATTATATTATATGAGAATTACGCCTTCAACCTAAGACTATTCGCCAATTCTTCTATTCTATTTTTCTATTGAAAAGAAATAAATTTCTCACAATTACATCACTATATCGAGAAAAAAAAAAGAATTGAAAAGAATAAAAAAAAAAAATGATCGACAGGATGATGGTAGCAGGTTCTGAATGGGGTTGAAGGTGGCTGACGAATCAGGTAGAGAGAAAGAGAGATGCGAGGAGAAGAGTTGGGGTGAAGCGGGTGGACCGCGTGACCTTGGCATCGAGGCAACACACACCGGCCGGTGCATTCGAGTTTCTTGTCGAGTAGCACACACTAAGAGAGAGAGAGAGAGAGGGCAAAAGTACTCAGTGGAGTAGGTATAGGTATTTATAGTCCAACGTCGTCTTCGTCGCTTTGGATCGACGCCGAAAGAAAACGAACGAATCGTAGAGATTCCAACAATCTTATGGTCCTCGCTCTCTTCTTTCAACAAAAGAAACCTCTACAACCGTGAAATCGTGTGTCCTACCATTTTTATTTCTCTCTCAAAGGCGTCGCTCCAACTATAAAACTTCTCTCATCGTTCTTTTTTTTTTTTTTTAAAAAAAGGCCAACATTTATTTTATTTTTTCAGCGATAATTAAAAGCCAAATTCAGTCCCTTTAAATATTTAACAAATCGATTTTCCAACTGACGTTTCTGACCCTCCGCATATAAATAAGGCTTTGATTCTCCTTTGGGGATATGGGGGATCTATATATACCTGCTTGCCGTATGGTATTCTTCATTTTAGGAAGAAAAGATTCCAAGTGGATGCTGGCCAAGATTTCGAAGAAGATGGAAGAAAAGTTTTTCGAGCAGGTATAAGAAGAAAAATTTATGTATGCCTTTCGAAAAATTGAAAAGAAATTTTTGTGTACAAGAAGGGAAACTTATATACGCATGGAAGTGGACTGAGCCGAATGCGCTAGTCCAGTGCAGCTGTTGGTTAAAGCACCCGACAGCAGCTGTCGTGGCCACTCGCTTGTCGTCGTCGTAGTCGTGTTGCAGCTGCTTCATTTAGCGCCCAACCCCTATACATATATATAGAGTATACATATAAAAAACGAAGAGGTAGCACCCCCGAATATGCGCCACCAAAAACCTTACTTCACCGGCTCTCGATCCGTTTTTTTTTTAACCCCTTTTTGGCTCGATTAAATTTTAATGCTCAATTTTCTTTCTAGAAAGAAATAAAAAACCGTCACATCAATCGCTTTTGTATTTAAATAGAAAAAAACGGCGAAAAAAGAACATTTCTAAATTTTCTAATTAAAAAAAAAAAAACAACAAAAATATCGCGAAAAAGAAAATTTAAAATCTTATTCTCTATTTAAATACATTCCTCAGCAAGTAAAATTCTCTCAACCAACCGAAAAAGAAAAAGAAGAAAAAGAGCATGACTGTCAAATTCTTTTTATTGCGTGTGTGTAACTAGCAACACGATTCATGCGAAACGTTAAGAGTATGTTTGCACTGCGCGCTTTTAAATGCTATCTGATTCGTCCGCTGTCCTATTACCGAAAGAAATGCTGTGAATGCACGAAAGACGATGAGTTTAGTCTTGAAAATCTCGACGAACAAGAGAGTATAATGAGAGAGAAAAAATAAAAAAAAAATCCTCACGTTAATAAACGTGTGAAGAGTGAAGGTGATGACCAAAAAAAAAAAAAAATCCAATTAGAAGTGCGAAAAATGTTTCCCCCCCCCCATCTTTTTCGTTCAGGAAGCATCCAAAAATTCCAAGAACATCATTGAAATGAATTATAATAGTCTATTAGTAATCCATTCGCGAACTCTTGTCACTCTCTTGTCCTTTCGCGACATCATCGTCGTCTTCGTCGTCGTGTGTGAACTAAAAGTGCAACGACCTGATGACTCTCCTGGAACTCAATTTGCATGTGACTCAGTTGTTCATATATATATATATAAAACTCGGAAAACTGCTTTTATATAAAGAAGAAGAAAAGTTAAAACGAGAATTGAAAGGCGAAGAAAAAGGAGAGAGACGATTGCAATTTTATTATTGAATCAAGGACACACAAGAGAGATATATAATAATTTCGCAAAGGCCACATTGCACTTAGATTTATAATCCCCAAGATCATGTTATTGGTTTATATATATATATGTATAATGACAAAAAAATGCTAATCAGTATATAGAATACTGATGACTTAATGATTCCTATATATACATATATATAGAACTGTGAGAAAAAGTCAGAAAAAAGATCAAATAAAAATTCGCTTCATCAATTACCAACAAAATCGATTGATAAATATAATATAAATTATATCACTTCCAATTCTTTGTATCGATCTTTTTTTCCACGCGATCTATCTATGTGTGTGGCAATTTTATCTACACTCTACTTTATATCTGATAATGATTTTTAAATGCAAATCCATTTACGATTTTTCTCTTCAGCTGAAGAGAATTAAATTTATATGGAAATCAAAGAAAAAATGATGAAGACAAAATGTAATTTACTGTTATACTCTCTAAATTTTATAATTAGTTGAAAATAATTGATTTTATACAGTAAAAAGTCAGCTACTGATTTGAATACTTTATTTTCTTATTAGAAAATAATCTAGTAAATAATAATAAATAACAATTATAATAATAATAACCTTTTAGTTAAAAATAAGTAATTATTAGTTAAATTTATTTTTAGGTTATGTCAAAACAACTAAAATTTCTGTTAACTAATCTATCGATTAAAATAAGTAAGTATTAGTTAAATTTACTTTTAGGTTATGTTAAAATAAGTAAAACTAATTCTTTAGTTAAAAATAACTAATTATTAGTTCAAAATAAGTAATTTTATATAATTAATAATAATAATTATTATTATTGTAGTAATTATTATTTAAATTTACTTTTAGGTTATGTTGAAATAACTATAATTTCTGGTATAACTAATATTTTAGTAAAAAATAACTAATTATTTGTGACTAATTAAGATTTAGAGAGTAAATTCACTTTTAGATTATTTTAAAATAACTAAAATTATTGGTACCTAATTTTATAGTTAAAATTAACTAATTACTAGTTAAAAATTAGTAATTTTATATAATTAATTATTATTGTAGAAATTATTATCTAAATTCACTTGTAGGTTATGTTAAAATAACCTTTAATTTCTGGTAACTAATGTTTTAGTTAAAAATACTTAATTATTAATGAAATTCACTTTTAGGTTATGTTAAAATCACTAAAATTTCTACTACTTAATATTTTAGTAAAAAAATAAGTAATAACTAATTAACTAATTCAGATTTAGAGAGGCAAGCAAAAAAAATTTAACCAACAATAATTTTTCACTAATTTTCCAAAGCCAATTTTTCATATATATATATATATATGTATATAAAGCTGACGAGATATGAAAACAAAGAAGAAAAGAAAACCAAAAAAAAAGTAAGTTTATATTCGCTATATGCTCGCAAGTCGACTCTCGCCGATCCAGTCGGATCCGCAGGTTCGCTAAGTAAAAGACGAGGAAGCTAATACACCCGCTGCTGCCGCTGCTGCTGCAGCAAAGAGAGAAAGAAAAGATGAACTGAGTCAGAGTGTGTGAGTGAGTGAGCGCGCGCGCGCGCATGAAGCGTGGGAAACTGTTCTCAGACATCAGGCTCAGGTACCGACAGGATTTTACTTCGTCCCCCTAGCAACCAACTTTCGATAGTTGCCGTAGCTGCTGCTGCTGCTGCAGGAGTCGTGTTATCGTCGTCCCATTTTCAGGATGTCTATAACATTTCGCGGACACAATCTCTTTTTCTTACTTTTATATCGGCGATATAATTTTTTATCATTTCTATTTTTCCTAATTCTAAGTAAACCAAATTTCGAAATCCTAATATATATATATGCAAAAATTTCCTAATTACCAAAATTTGCGATAATAATTGCAATGATAAAAAAGAATTCCATACGATTTTTGATAATTTTCGGTTATTTAAAATACAATTATACCTTGGAAAAATTTTACATAATTTAATTCCGGGGAGGTCAATAGCCTATATAGGAACAGTGAAAATTTCTGTTTTTTTTTTCCAAAAAACAGTTATTTTACAAACTGCTAAAGCAAAAATGCAATTACTAATTTAGATTTAAAGGGAAAAAAGTACTATAAGGTTCAATAACCTTATACAGAATTAGCGAATTTTTTTTTTTGAAATAGAAAACCCTAAAAGAAAACAAAGGTTAAAAACATGCGGAGATTGAAATCAGAGAAGCTGGAAAAGGACTATTATATGCACTTTTCTCTTTTTTTTTAAAAAAAAGGAGGCAAACCATGTTACAAGTGAGTTATGGCATTTATAAGATCCACAAAAAGGATAGAGAGGTCTACCCAATAGCTCTCTATACTTCGCTTGTATCATTTCCACTTGGGATAATTGAGCCTCTGCAATTATCCTACTGGTAGTTTATCATCCCATCATACGAGTCTAATATTACGAAAAGGGATTGCTTCTTGTCTAGACGCCAGGCGGCTTTAGCGAGAAACAGAGAGAGAGAGAGAGAGAAGAGTAGAAAGAAAGCTCAAGTGGTATTATTTATTTTTCTTTTTCAAAACTGATATATACTCGGGACTTCTTGGCTATATAGAAAATTATATTATTCATTCTCGACAATTACATTTATGTTCAAAAAAAAAAAAAAAGAAAATTATTACAAAATTTTCATTATTTACGAGGAAAAGTATGGAATAGAAAGGTTTTCATATATATTAGTTTTGAAAAAATTTAACAGAAACAATTATGAAAAAATGAATAAAGTAACTTTTACTTTATATACTTTAAATGTAAAACTGTCCACAGTTTCTGCGCATTTCTGGCAATTTTTACTCTCCAAAAATAGTAGAATTTTACTATATTTCCGGAATAATTTTTACTATTCCAGGGGGAAATTTTACTATTTCTGGAAAGTAAAAATTGCCAGAAATGCGCAGAAACTGACGACATTTTAGATTTTACTTTTAAAGTATATAGTAAAAGTTACAATATTCTCTTCTACTATTTTCAACTAAAAGATTAGTAGAAATATTACTATTTTGGTTTGCTATATTTAAAAACCGAAAAGTTATCAGAAATTTCAGTTACATAACCTAAAAGTGAATTTAAAATTGACCTATTTTCAACCAGATTAGTAGAAATTGTTTGTTTTATATCTCAAAACCGGAAAAATTAGAAAGGAAGTCCAATAAAATTTTCCTATGTATACTAAAATCAAAGAGAGAATAACTATTCAAGAGAGGAGGCGCAAAGTATATATATATATACATATTTGAAAGTGATTGGCCTGGCAAGTGAAGGAAGAATGCAAATGTTATAGTTAACACACTATATATACATATACACATCTCCTGAGGCAATGTTGGTTTGTTAAGCAAGAGAAGAGTGAACCTATGGCTTCGACCTCTGCGAGATTGTAGGAGGATCTCCCTCTCATCGTTGTTGTTGTTGTTATTATTATTATTATTGCCGTTCGTTTAGTAGTAGTAGTAGTAAGTTTCCAAGTAAAAGGTCGTAATAGGAGGGTATATAACTTACGTTTGTTGCAGTAGTCACCGGTCCATCCCGAGAGGCAAATACGTTCACCGGTCGGACTGCAGCTGTTATGCCCGAATCTATCGTCCCGAGGCCTGCAGAAATTCTCACACTTTTGCCCATAGTAGTTTGGCGCGCATATCACCCTGAACCCGTAGGCCATCAGCGAATGAGCATTTTGCTCCTCAACCTCTATCCATTTTGGTCCAATACCCAACCACATCTGGGTTGCTAATCTTGCCAACAGGACTTTCTCTGCAAAAAAAAAAAAATAAAGCATAAATTCATTATTAATATCCACATCAAATTTCTTATAATAAAATGATACATGATTTAATAATACCGTAAATGCCATAGTTACCGTCACCTTTTCTTCAGTAGTCATACTACTCTCTAAATCTGAATTAGTAAAAATGTTTACTAATTTGAATTTAGTGACTCACTTTTTGCTTCTGAATTAGTAAAATTTTACTAATTGTTAGTTAAAGTTACTAATAATTAGTAAAATTTTACTAATTCAGAAGCAAAAAGTACTAATTCAAATTAGTAAACATTTTTACAAATTCAGATTTAGAGAGTATACTTAATAATTTGAGAATTTAAAGCAATATTATTATAATTTATTATTTATGTAAAATAATAATTATGTAAAATTAAAAACTGTTTTTGAAAATATTTTTTTTTTTTGTAATTTTCAACCAAAATGACGGTAACTAAGGCATAGTGACGAGGGACTTAAATAATAATAATATAAAAGAGAGTAAATGATATATAGAAACACGGAGAAAAAGAAAAAGTAATTTTTACTACTTTCAGAGTAAAACTGGACCAACTCGAAGTTTCTGCGCATCTCTGGCAATTTTTACTCCAAAAATAGTAAAATTTATTATTTCTGTAGTAAATTTTACTGTTTCCGTAGTAAGTTTTACTATTTCTAGAATAAATTTTACTATTTTTGGAGTAAAAATTGCCAGAGATGCGCAGAAACTTCGAGTTGGTCCAGTTTTACTCTGAAAGTAGTAAAAGTTACTTTATAAAAGAAATCTTTTTTCTCCGTGAAGTTGTTGCTTAGTCGGGTTTTTTTTTTTGTAAAATTTTGTATATAGATGAAAAAAAATTTTCCTTTTAGCGGAAGATGTTATTGTTCGAGAATGATTTAAGAGAAATCTGAGATTTCGGAAGTGTTTTGCTCCTGTTCGAGGTGGATCGCAGCGCCCTCGGGGGTAGACCGGATGTTCGTTCATACTATTGCCAGACCGTCGACGGCATGCATCCGGCACAATAAGAGCGCATATACTCTCTGGGAAAGAGGCGTTCATCCTCCTCCTTCTTTTTCTTCTTCTGTATCTCCACCTCTTCCTCTTTGACGTTTTATTTCTTACCTCATATAAACCACCTTCTAAAAACCTCTATATTCGCATGTATATATATATATATATATATATATATATATAGCGAAACAGTGTTGCCATATTACAACATTTTCCGTCAGATAGAAAGAGAGAGAAATAGTTATCATTTATATACTTTCCCTATTCATATATAATGAAGAATATATTTAACCATCCTCTCCTTTAACCTTTTCCCTTATTTCACACACACATATGTATATCTGGTATTTCTATTGTTTTTCACTTTCTCAATTTCTCTTGTGTTCTTAATATTTTTCCTATATTGGTTTGGTTCTTTAATTCCAATTTTTGATATTCTTAATACTTTCTGTAGTTTCTTTTTTTTTTCGAAAAAATTTTAAGCAGAGGGTTTTTAAAACCTAACCTAAAAACCGTAGTGCTTTATATAGTGTACACTTTTCTGTCCTTTTCTAACACACGTGTTTTTATAGTAAGTAAGTAAGACAAGGACAGAAAAGTGTAGGCATATACGGCCAAAAGTGTAAATAGTAATGTATTTTTAGGTTAGAAAAATAAAAACGTGTTTTTACATGACACACTATAAAACAAAATTTAATCGACTTTAGGTACTAAATTGTCATTTTTATACCTAAAATCGGCACATATTGCACTTATATGTCATGCAAACGTAATTGAAATTCGCCTTTCTTGTATAAATTCGTGTGAATTTATCCAATTTTCATTTCGTTCCTTTTAAATCTTATATATAAATATATTTTAATATCCCATTATTTTGATTGATCTCCATTTTTCTCCGAGACTACTTCGTTTCTTTTTCTTTTTTTTCGTCTGAACAAGTGCGTGTGAATTTCTGGAGCTCAGCTGGTAAACAAACAGGAGAAGGGGAAAAGTTGATGAGGAAAGGTAGCCAAAATATGAAATTTGCTTGGTTCCGATAGCTCGCTCTTTCTCTCTTTCTCTCTCTCATCTTATGGGGCGAAGAGAGTTTTTAACTTAGCAATGATTTCTGCTTTAAGATCTTTTACTTCTCTCTCCATTTTTTTTTCTGCACTTTTTTTTTCTCCATAAAATTAATGGTTCAGGTGTATCCCATGCACAGGTTTTAAAAAGCGTAGAACGAAGAGGTTAAAAAAAAAAAAAAGAAGAAGAAGAAGAGAAAAAAAATGGAGAGAGAGAAACTGTGTATAGTAATCTGTATCGTTGTTTACGAAGAGAGCTGGGATTTCGGAACGATGAGGAGAGGCAATTGCCTGGCGAGGAAGCATCAGCAGAGAGTATTGGTGGTATAAGGCAAGGTCCTGACTCCCGTTTTGCCCCAAGGCGAAACGTTACTTCCCTTCTGGGAAGACGCCACAGTGCTTTAAGTATCCACGGGCACGCCATCGGCAAAACGGGTTCCGCCTTTTGTTCTTCATCTCTTTTCTTTTCTCTCAGCCTGGCTCTTTCTTCTTCGATATGGTCCATACACCCATTGGGCCGAGGATATGGATGCGAAGAGAGAGAGAACATCGCGCGGGGCTAAGCCCGTGAGAGACGCGCTTTTTCGATAGGGCGTTGAATCGAGACCTGCGCGGCGCTCTCTTCCTAATCGTTCGGTGTTTATGATAATACCGAACGAAAATTTGGAAACACGAAAAGAAATTACTTTTTCATCCCTGGGAGACCTCTTTTATTTTTTTTTTTTTTATTCTTCATTATCTTTCCATTCGCCTAATATTAAAAAAAATTGCTCTCTTAATTAGAGACACGTTTATACCAATTTTTCTTGAAAAAGTTCACAATTAGCAAGTCTAATTTTTGAAAATTAATTTTTTCTCAAAACTTTTGAAAAATTCAACAATATCCTCTTTGTTCTTGTTTTAATTTATAAAATTTCAAAAGCTGTCTAGTATATAGTTATAAAGAGTAGAATTTCATTTTCAAAATTCGCTAACTTTTTTTTTAATTCTAAGTTTTATTTTTTAGACTAAACAATTTTTGAAATTGAAAAAAAAAAAACATTCGGAAATTTAGAATATGTCACGCACTATGCTAAAAGGATAAGTTTCCAACAAATTTTAGGTCATGTTTGTGTTTTTTAGAGTGATACTGCAGAAAGATGATGGTAAAACTATAATTGCTAAATTCCAATACTTATAGGTATTATTCACGATTATAAAAATGAAAATTTTTTTAGTGAGAGAGATAGTCAGTGACCAATTATTGTTATTGATGAGACGCTTATACCTATATGAGCAAGAGGCAGGTGCTTCTTTTCGACAATACCATCAGGACACAGTTAGTCAGTCTCTCTCTCTCTCACGTGAATAAAATAAAAATATACCAAGAGACGAAGGAAAAGATCTGAGAAACCGGCTCAAGATTCGAGGAAGAAAAAGAAATAAGAAAAAAAATGTCCATGCAAATGAACACCTAAGATCAAGTCCTTATTCATTATAATAAAGAAGGTGCACCATCTGCGCGCCTGTAATTGCATAGTATTTTCTTAGAAGTAGTATTTTGTCGCTTGATAATAGACTTTTACTATTCATTTACAAGAAGAAGAAGAAAAATAAGGAATCTTTTTTTTTCCCCCTTAGGGAGAGACGATAATACGATGACTTTGTGGTATATGGAGAGAAAAAAAAAAGAAGCAATTCTAAGATAACAGACGCGTGCGTCATTGCATATATACATGAAAGGGGTTTTGCTAAAGTAAAAAACTATGAATTGTGGCATGTGCTATACTCGTGTGTGCTCCGATCCTTTCGTTCCAAACGTGTGTATCTGTTTCTCGAGATAATAATAGATACTGCGAAATACTTAGAATATATGTATATGTGTATATATGTACTTGACTCGTCCGCGCCAGTTCGTTCAAGTATTTTTTTTAAAATAGTCCCTTATCGTTTTTTCAACTCAAAAACAGTTGTACATTTTAAATTCCATTTCTCTAATTATAAATAATAATATCCATATTCTTAATGAATTTTTGAAATTAGACTATTGAATATTAAGAGATAAAGAGAGAGAAGGATAGAATAAGAGAAAGAAACAAACAAAGAGAAAGAAAAGGCGAATATGAAAATAAATGAATGTAAAATATCTTCTTAATGAGTATGGAAAATCCCCAATGAGAGAATTTCTCAGAGATATGAAGAAGAATTTTTTTTATTTGCAAAAAAAAAAAGAAGTGATTCCACTCCACGTGTTATCAATTATGTTTGTCATGGGGAGACTGTGACTACGTAGACGTGCAGGTGTATCGGTCATGTCGTAAGCCATATAAGCCAGTGCTAAAGTAATAGTGAAGAAAAAAAAGGAGAAGAGAGAAAAAAAAAAGAACGAAGGAGACGAGCAGCAGGGAGATATGGCAAATGAGAGAGAAAGAGAAGGGAATGGGCCTGAGAAAGGAAGCAGCATCCGAGCAACGCGGCAATAAAGGGTTCGTTTCGCTCTTACTCGTGTGCGTTATACATGATGGATACAATGGTTGAGGATCTATATATATGTATCTCACTCTTTAAAAAACAAAAAAGAGACAAAAACGAAAAAAAGTGAGATATAAAACCAAAGAAAGAGAGATTAAATCAGAAATGTAAAAAAGAGAGATAGAGAGATGAATAATGTAAAAAAAAACGAATTAGCGATATTGCCAGAAAGACAATCATAAATGTATGGTACAACTCTAAAATTTAGAATACAATATTTGGCACCTATTTTTGAATATTTTATACTTAAACTCGCAATATGTATACTAATACTGAATTTAAGTATATAAAATATTTTAAAGTAAGTGTCAAGTATAGAATATTTTTTTTCGATGTTAATTTATATACATTTAATGTATGCGCGCAAATCGCTGAAGCGTTACATTTCGATGTAAAAATGGAAGCTATAAGAGACTATTCTTAATTTCTTCTTTTTCTTATTCTTCTTCTTCTTCTTCTTCTTCTTCTTCTTCTTCTACTTTTGGATTTTAACCAGCTCTGTGTTAATTACAAGTCACCCGAGCGGAAATTACGTGCCGCGCCATGCATACAGCGTTTCTATATTCTATACCTTCTTCTATATAAAGTGGTGTATTTCTCCTTCCGGAGATCGTTTGATTAATTCATTGCCTCCTTGACAGTGTGCCACGGTCATTGATCAATTCAATTATTTCTAATTCATCTTTTTTTTCTCAATCCCTCTGCATGTTTTTGTCGCGTCTAATTTATTTAGTTTCTTTCGAAATTTACTATTGTTCATTATAATTCTTAAAATTTTTAACTTCTCTAAATTAGCCTTTAAATTAGAATCTTACTAACATAGTTAATTTTTTTCCAATACAGTTAAATTTTTTTTCAACATAATTCAGATTATATTTCTATTTCTTAAATATATTTTTAATTTAATTTTTATATTTAATATTTATAAATTCAGTTTATATAATGTGTGTATTTTCTAAATTCATTCTTTAATTCACGTATATATATATATATATATATATATATATATATATATATATACAAGTAGAGGCGATGAGCTTCAGTAAATTAAAGAAAGTTCTTCCGGAATTCATGGAATGTTTAACTTCAACGAGTTTTAAAATAATAATTATTATTAATAAGACGTGAATATACATTTAAAAAAAAAATGTACGTGAAATTTATGAATATTTCCGGTATGGCACATGTGTCACGAAGAGACAAACACATTATTACGGTGGTTCTTTGATCGAACAGGAGGAGTTAATGGCTTGGTAAACTCGAGAGAGACAGAAAATTCAACATGTATAGAGCAAACAAGGGAGAGAGAGTACATGATGAATAAATGGTTAGAATTGAATATAGTTCTAATAGACACACACAGAGAGACGTTGCGGTTTATTTTTCTTCAGAACTCAATAAAACGAGTACTCAATAAAACTGAATAAAAAAAAATGTGATTCATTTATAAAAAAAAAAAAAAAAGAAAAATTAGCCTCAAAAATAGTTTCACAGTCTAGACTTCAATTTGCATACTTTTAAATTTCCAAGAAAGATCCGTCTGTATATACAATACGCGCAGTTAAAAATAGTGAAAAAATTTCTTTTGGAATGCATTAACAATTCAACGCCGAGATTCTTTTTTTTCTGACAATTTCAAAGAAATCAAAACAAACTGAATGACAATTTAAAATTGTCCAAATTGGATGACGTCCAAGGTTTCACGAATTGGTATATAACGCGCGCGGGGGCTTTTAACTTCAAATCTAACCATTCATCCATTTTTTTTTTTTCAAACATTTATTAGAAAAACTCATATTTTTGAACTATTAGTAAGAATGACTCACTGTTTGCTTAAATTTTACCAATTCGATAGTAAATTTTTTTTTTTTTTTTACATATCAGTAGTTAAATTTTACTAATTCAAAAACAAAAAATGTGTCACTAATTCAAATTGCAAATTTTTTACTAATTCTTAGAGAATTCCCAACTTGTAAAATAGAAAATAATTTTTATAATTATTTTCCGAATGAATATTTTCATTTTTCTGAATGAAGATAATAAGCAGACTAAAATTCTGAGAAAATGGAAGAGGGGAAAAAAATTATTGCAACAAAATACGAGTATATATAGAAAAAAGGCGAGTGTAAGGTAAAGCAGCGCAACAGTGTCCAGTGTGCGCAAAAGAAGAGTATGAATGAGAAAGAAATAATAAAAAAAAAAAAAAAAAAAAAAAAGTGGGGGTGATGTTGAACACGTCAGATTCGGAGCTTATGGCGCTACAAAGTGTCGACGACGCTAGAAAGAAGAAGCATCCTCGCGAAGCCGAGGGGTGTCAAGTTACTTTGAATGTGTGGTGGAAGGTGGCTGCTACGGTTACACAGGAAGGAAACACTAGTGGCTCTATATATATATATATGTGTGCAAACGGGGTCTATATACACCACGTGTATACTAGGTTATTGCTTACGAGACTCAACACACATATTCAACTCGTTGCACGTGTATCTCTCTCATTTAGACACAAGTAGAAAAAAAAGAGAGAATAGGATGTTACGGTAATACGTCTAGAACATTGAAAAACAGGTCGAAGGACTGCGGGGTAAAGGGGACACAGGATAAAAAGAGTAAGAAGTGGTTCCCCACCCTCACTATAAAAAAAAAAAAAAAAAAAAAAAGTGTCGTCGTCTCTGGTGAATGTCACACACGGCCGGAAGTGGCTTCTTGATTGTCTCTCGGACCCGAGCCATCACATCACACCCAGCTGTCTTTGCACATGCTATCAAAGTCACTATATATATTTATAAATCAAGATTGATTCTTTTTTTTTCCCCTTAATTTTTCTCTATTTATAGCGAAATTTTTGAGGTTAAGTTCGTGTACCAAAAATGAGGAAACTTTTCAGGTTATGTTCGCCTATAAATCGAATTCTGAGAAATAATATCGAGATGCAAAAAAATTATAATAACTTACCGGAAGTATTGTTCGTGATGTTGTCGGTGTCATGATACGCCTCCACTATCAGCGAGAATGAACCCTGTAACAGAGAAACATTGCGGAGAAATTAAAAAAAAAAAAAAAGAAATAACATTGTGTATAGGAAAATAATTGTTATGACTGCCGCTGACACATTGTTAATATGTGTTGCAATCACATTTAGTAATAAGAATAATAATAATAATAAATATATGTTGAAATCATTTGCTTCTTTTGCGACAAAGGGATTTTGCACTCTATGCCTGTTAAAACATCCGGATTTAAACTATCATCAGAAGTGTTAGAAAGGATGTCAAGGGCCTTTATATATACTATTTTATATATATATTGTTATATCTAATTGTGTGTATATAATTTGTAATATACCATTTATATATATATATAATGTGTAGGTAGACCTTCAAATCGTCGCTATATATTGATTTAGCGCCGAACATTAAATTTTCTTCTCTTGTCAATTATTTATAATGGAAAATCTATTATATTCGTTGTAATGACATTTCATCTGTTTTCTCATCGACTGTAAAATATTGTTAATTACCGCTATATATGAATCACTGTTTTTCCATTTTCATTTTCTATAATAATTTTAATTTTTGCTATTTTTTTTTTGTATTTATTTTACTATACAGTATTTTAATATTTACTATACTGTATTTTACTATTTACTATATACAGTGTGTTGTTATTTACTAAACAGTATTTCATTATTCACTACATAATATTTTGAAATTAAAAGCTTTTACAAAATCGTAAATTTCAGGTAAATAAAAATCGAAGCTGTCTCAAGGTTGTGCCAAAAAAAAAAAAACCTAAAAGCTCATTAAAGTAAAAGCTTTTGGAGCGTGTGTGTGTTTAATTTATTAAAAGGTCTGAAAATTAGTGACAACGAATAAAAGTATTATATTGTGAATGTTTGATTTTAGCATACAGTAATTAGCATAGTGTTCGTTAATAAAGAATTAAGTACTCAATAATAATTAGTGCAAAACGGTAAAATCCAGAAAGTTTGATGAATAAATTTTATGTGTTTGTGTGTGTCGTTCGGATATATAAAACGCGTGGAATCTGCAGAGAGAGAGAGAGAGAGAAAGAGAGACGTTTAATTATTAACGTCACCGAGATACTACGTTTCACGGCCTCATTACGCTCGTTGAATAATAAACGTTTACATCTGCCATTGTCAACGAGTTCGCGTCAAATAGCCGGCCGGCTTTCTGAAATGAATAAATCTCTTTCTCTTTTTATAACTAACTAACTATCTCACACTATAGCTTTTTCTCCTTCCCCACCCTTGTGAATTTAAATACGATGTCCACTTTTAAAAATTATAGCCCTCGAAATTTGCGTCGTGATGACACTTTAGATAAAAGAGGACTCCTTTTTTTTCTCTCTCTCTCTTTTTCTTTTATATAAAGTACAATAATTCTGAATTGTTCTACAAAAAAATTAATTAATTAAATAACCATTTTTTTTTGCTAATTATTCGATTACATAACCATTTTTACACTATACAATTACATTTTTGAAAAATAGAAAAAGAAAAGAAGTGACAAAACAAAAAGAAATAAGGAGAAATATCTAAATTTCGAAGAAAATAGACTTTAAAATATGTAACCCGAAAAAGATAAAGAGATTAGGAGGTTAGACAAATAGGTGCATAAACTGTATAAATATATACAATATAGAAAGGGACAGTCAGTGGGGGTCGACCCTTTTCTTGCGGCAAGGACGAAAGACACGAAGAAAAAGAGAGAGAGATAGAGAGAAGAGAGGGAGGAGAGAATAAATTGCAGAGGAGACAAATGCCACCATGATCGCTCGCTAATTTATTACAGAGATTGGAATTAAGCCGACAAAAAGCTGAAAAAGCACCGGCATCCCGGGAACAATGTAGGGTGTGTTTCGAGAGAGCCGGTGCAGTTTGGATTGTGCGCTCGAGTCTCCAAAGCAAGAGAGAAAGAGAGAGAGAGAGAGAGAGAGAGAGAAACAGCGAGAAGAGAACACAGACTCGAGTGCGAGAAAGAAAAAGACTAGAGGAGGAGGAGGACAGAAGTTGAGAGTGAGAAAAAGAGAATATGTGAGAAAAGAAGAGTGAGTCAAGGGAGAGGATGAGAGAAAGAGAGAGGGAAATTCAAAAGCAAGACAGAATGGTATAGGAGCAGAAAGAGAAGTTTCTGTGTGAGTGAATGATGAAATGAAAAGAAAGACGAGAGCCTTCGAGAAAAAGAGAAGCAAAAAAAAAAAAAATAGAACAAAGACAGAAAAATAGAAGAAAAGGAAAACCGAGACAAATGAGAGAAACTAGAAAAAATTGATAAGAACTATGAGGAGGAAAAACTATGAAGAAAAATCAGAAAATGAACCAGAACCAAAGGAGACGAGATCTAAAATAAAAAGACATACTCTAAAAACTAAGAGAGAAGCGAAACGGAAAACCGAAAAAAAGAACCAAAACCTGACAGAAAGGGTCAAAAAGAAGAAAACTTATAAAAAAAAACAGAGAGATACAAGAAAAGAAGAATCGAAGTGGAGTAGTGTCGAGAGCGAGAGAGAAGATATATACTTCAGGAGTTGGTTCCCACGGCGGCGCAGCATACCTCCACCTCTCGCTTTATTCACTCTTTCTCACCTCTTCCTCACCTCTCTCGAGAGCTACACACACACATACATATACACTCAAGCAACAAAAAATAATATGTAGCTCGAAAGATGAAGAAGAAATAAATATTCCAAGTCCTTAGTCTTTCTCTTTCTCTCACTAAACGTGCGGACAACTCTTGTTTTATATATATATATATATATATATATATGCTCGTATTAATCATCAAACAGACAAAGTGTGCGTTCCAGCAATAAGAGACCTTCTCTCTCTCTATATATACATAAATGGTTTGGTTCAACAATTCAAAACTAGCATCGATAGCAGCAGCAGCAGCAGCTGTTATATATGTTTCGCGTTTCCTCTTCCTCATCGTCGTTTGTACCTTGATCTAAGATAAGTGATTTTGCACTGTGAAAACTCATCCCCCCATTATATGTATATAATCTCCAAGGGGGATCTAACAATGTCGCAATGATCTGCAATGATCAGAAATAAACACTATATGTATTCTAAACAAGCATTTCATTCTCTTAAATCATCAATGTAAATCATTCCTTCGATATACGCAATTTAGAAAATTTTATAAACTGTATTTTCTGTTTGAGTTATGAAAACAGGGAGATATAAAAGTAAGATTAGGATTATATAGCTTTAGACAGTATTGATGTTCTTTTCAATATGCCTAAAACACTAATACCAATAATCGGTACCTGGAATCCTAATTTTAATTTTATGTCTGCTTTCTGGTACATATAGATAACATTTTCAGGTGCTGCACATTTCTGCGTCTCATGCGAATTCTTTGTTTTGACATTACTTCAATACGTTCTTTTCCTGCTAATTGTTTATATATAATTCTGGACCCTTCTTCTTCTTCTTCTTTACAACAACCCAACTGTATGGATGTAACAAAATCACCAATCCAAATTTTTTGGACTAGTCCGAATTATGGCTGTATTTAATAAAACTTTCTTTCATTTAGTCTACTTCTATACAAAAATAAATTTTTCTTGAATACATCTATAATTCTGACTAATTCAATCATATATTGTGTTGGTGATTTTGTTAAAATCTTTGCCATTCGGATGTTTACTATTTCTCGTTGTAATTCAAACACCGACACTCGCAGTGTACTGAGTCATAGGTATTCGCTGTTTGTGAATTCCTAAAACACTAATAAAAATTAAATACCAATACTTGTTCTAACAGGTATCGTAATCCTCATACCAGAATGACAATATCACTGTTATAATTATTCACCAGTATTTCACGATCATTTTTTTTTTTTTTTTCTATATAATGAGAACCAAAACGTCGAGACAGAAATAGAGGCGCTCGCGCGAGAGGAGACGATAAATATTGAAGAGTTATGGAGATAAGGTTTTGTATTTGAATGAGCATGAATGGGAAGTGATTGAATGGAACGAAAGAAAGAGAGAGGGGTCAATTTAGAATTCAGTGAATCTCAAGTGCGACCAAGCGTGTTACAAGAGTGGATTTCTTTCTCTCTCTCTCTCATTCATTTTAAAAAACGTTTCAAATTTAATAAGGATAGTTGTTTCACGCTTGACGCAACTGAAAACGAGAGGATTGCATATAGATATATAAATAGTTGAAAATCTATTTACGGGACAGAAGTACGGTAGTAGGTAGGTGGATACTAATAAGCGTAGCAGCAGGTATCAGCTGATACACCTTTCCGATGACCACGTGTCGTGCCTAGGGGAAGAGGCGTTACTCCGACGTTACTCTCTTCGCCACAGAATGAGCAAAAAAAAAAAAAAAAAAGAAAAACAACAACAACATCGTGAAGACAACGAACGAACGAAGAAGCTAGGCATCATCAGACGAGGTCTTTCACGAGAGACCAAGCCCTCGGGATACAAATCCATTTCACCGTTATTACCACGATTCTCTCTGCCAATGATGCTCACACTGGCAAAAAGGGTATTGAAACTTGTGTGAGTGAGAAAGAAAGAGAGAGATCAGCCATCGAGAAAGAGATCAAACACCTGAAGAAAAAGAAGAAGCTGAAGAAGAAGAAGAAGCAGAACTTATTGAGAAAAAGAGAGATGCATCAGACTGTGGAAGACTTGAAGCAAAAAGAGATCTGAATCGTGCTGATTTGACGAAAAACTCAACAACTTGCCTCTTGAAACTTTTTCAGACGGAAAGACGCTACGTCAGGTCGCCATGGGCCCTCACGTTACAATTTCTAAATGTTAGAAATTGAATTTTCGAATAGAATAGAAATACTAGAACGATAAAATACTGTCGAAATTCACCAAAAAGAAATAAAATTAAACTAAATGGAATGAGAGATCAACCGGAGTTTAAAAATTCTTCATCGTGATCGAAATGAATATTTATAAAAATTATTTGCCAATTTCGCAACATTATGAGAAGGAAGAGGAACGATGAACAAAAAAGAAGAAGAAGAAGTCACTGATGCATATATAAAAACGAGGGTTTTTTTTTTTTTTTTTTTTATAAGAAATCTTAGTGAAGATCGACGAGGTCGATCTCGTCGCGTGAGTTTTGTGGCTCGCGGTGAAACTCTAAAAATACTCAGCATGCAAGCATCACGGGGCCCAGTCAATCCTGTCTATTTCTTTTAACCCCTTCCCCTTGCCCCTCTTTCTTTGGCCCCGAGGGACTCGTCTGTAATTTATACTAAACGTTTCGCGAAGAGAGTAGCGCATCGCTGCTACTCTCTCAATATATATATATATATATATATGGAGGAGCCATTCATCCGCTCGTCAAAGACTCAGGCCGCCTGTTCCCATTCGTCTCCCAAACCTTAAGAAAGAAAGAGATGAGAGATCACGCATCATGGTCCATGGGAGAGATCCTCTCGAAAATTCAAAAAGCGATTATCAATCTGTGATATTGACTCTCTTTTCCTAGCTATAAACCAACACACACACACACACAAATATATTGAATCTTGAAAAAACGATCTAGACACGAAGGATGACTCAAGGTGTCCTAATATACGATGACAACCTCTGAATTAACTACCCACGATCTCCTCGAGATTCTTTCCCAAGATCCTGATTCATTAGAATAATTCATGATATCTGAGAATTCTTAATACAAGATTCTTCAGATAAGACAATTTTTTGGATTCCTAAACGGAAATATCTAACAATTTTATATATATGCAGGCGAAAAAAAAAATATATAAATTTGGCTACAAATGACAAATATTATAAAGAAATACTTTGTTTTAACTTGTTGCAACTTGTTTCAAGACAGGAATAACAAGCTCGAATGAGAGAGAGTAAAAAAAAAAATTCTCACTGTGCGCTCTAATCTCCTCGCATTACGCACATTCGTGCGTGCAGGGAGTGAATAATCGAGATACGAAGAAGTGTTTACCGTACGAAGAAGTAAAGAGAGACTCGCGAATGGGACGGTTTTATATATATGAACGGAAGGCATACAGTACTTGCACTGTTTGTTGTGTTGTTTTAATAAGAGCAAACTCTCCACTTTGCGAATACAAATACGTTAACCAATTAAAGAGAGTATCGGACAGAGTTGTTTCGCGAAGGTTACGATATATTTATCCATGGCGCTTGACTACTTTTCTTCTTCGTTCATCTCTCTCTCTCTCTCTTAATTAACGATAGCCTTTTGAATTTTCATTCGCGTCCCTACAAGTAAAAAAAAACCCGTATTAATTTCCAATTAAGAGTATGTAACAAACGATCATCATCATCGATCTGGTTCAATCTAATGATCAATCTATCATCTTCGATGGGGAATTTTTTTTTAATTTTAACGACATTTTTTTCCGAGAATAAATTTAAAATTTTCCCTTTTGAATATAAATAAAAATGTGCGACGAAGACAAATCACATACACGCAAAAGAATGAATTATACCACATACTTATACAGAAATAAATTAAAAGTATCAAATTGAGATGTATTTTTTTCCGTGATAAAGAAAAAGAAGACAAAAAAAATATAAAATAAAGACTGAAATAAAATTGATCAAATGAAATTACATATATCTATTTGAAGGCAAAACGCAACCAAAACAAGAAGAAGAAGAAGAAGAAGAAGAAGAAGAAGAAGATCGAGAAAAACAAAATCATGGGTCAAGATCTATATATCTAACAAATTAAAATCTCTATTAAATTAAAACCTTCTAGTCTCCTCTATTGTTAATGCTGACCACAAAGATGATGATGATGATGATAATGATGAAAATTGAGCGGTGTTATTTTAAACCTCCCCTTTCCCAACTACCATAAATAGAATATTGAAGTGGTTGTTTCGAGCACGTTTCCGATTGGGGCGAAACCTCTTTCATTTTGTTATATAGGCTTTTCGATCTCACATATGTGTATATATATATACTTTCTTCGCGAGTATAGTAAACTGTACCTGCAGAACCCATAATCTGTGCATTCTCGTCTATAATTCCACCAGTTGGAAAGAGTGCGTGGTCCCTGTAACAACCTACCGAAAAGACCATGTGGGTTCACTTCGCTTCCGAGAAGGAAACTTTTCAATTTTTTTTTCTCTCTCTCTCTCTCTTTTTTTTTGCTTCTTCCTGCTATTTCTTTTTTTAACTTTAAAAGCGGTGCGCTTTGGCGGTCTAGGGATTTCTCTCTCTCTCTCACACGATATAGCTGACTTATAATATTGGCCGATACACCACACACACATAGATGACTGGTCACGGTGAGTCGTGAACACCATATGGGTTAGTAAATTTAACTTGCCCTCTTCGCCTCTGATGCTTGTTTTGTGTGCCTGTGCAGCGAGCACCAACAGAAAACGTGCGAGAATGAGAAAGATCAGGATTCAAAAACCTTCTTCCTATACACCGCGATTTCATTCTTTATGGCCTCTCTTTTCTAGTTTATACTATACACCCTTTAAAAAAAAGAAGAAAAAAATCCCCCTGCACTCAAATCACTGCGCGAGGTGGATCGCTCAATAAATTGAATGTTCCATTAACTTTTTGCTTACGAGGAAAAAAAAAAAAAGAAAATTAAAAACAAGAAATAAGAAATTAATTACCAGAGAAAATGAATTTTTTTTTTTTTTTTTGACGAAAAAGAAGATAAATTTTTTATTTAGTGAAACGAAATAATTTCTATTTAAAAAAAAAAATTATTATTTAATAATAAATTATCAAAATTTAAATTGGAGTGAAGTAGCGAAAAAATAAAAAGTTGCACAAAAATTCGTGACATATGCACCATAAGCAAAAGGGAGAGAGACAAGTGTCTCTCTTTTACACTGCATCTGCTACTTCCTCTCTTTATCTAACGCGTGTACTCTCCCTTACGCACGCGACAAATCTGGCGTGTGCTTTCTTTCTTTCGCACATCTTTCAATTCAATTAACCTGCCTTATTCCCAAAAGAAACTAAATTTGCCCTTATTTTTATTTTCATAATTCAGGAAATTTTTTTTTTTCAAATAAAAAACTAAAATAATAATTGCTAAACAAAATAGAAAATAAATGTGATGCGCTCTGAAGAAAGGAACCTTAGAAGCAAACGAATTATATAGGTTATGTTAATTTTACCTTGATTAAACATAACCTATAATTTTTTTTTTTTGCTTCTAAGGTCCATCTTTCTTTAGAGCGCGTTACAAATAATAAATAAAATAAAAAAAATACTAATTAAAAACCAAATAAATTGAAACTTACCGGCCATGAGAATTCAAATGGAAACCTAAGGGGATTGATGATGTTTGAGACCATTTTTGTTGATGTGAAATTGACATTATTTTCACCAAGAACAGGTGTAATGACATCTCCATAGGTGCATGACGTTGATGTGTCTATTGTATTTTGATATTGTTTAAGACACGCCCGAAAACGAATTTTACATGCACCCGAACATTCTCCTGTTCTTGTTGTACTTCCCGAGCAACATTTTCCTAAACTATCCTTTCCGAATTCATTTACAAATGATCTTAGCCTCAGCTCGAATACACCCGCGCCATGTACCTGTAAAATAAAATATCAATTAATATCCAAATAGAAAAATTTTTATTAATTAAAAGAAATTTTATTATAATTATAAATTACTAAATTATATTTGTAATTTAAATTAAAAAAAATTCAATTAAAGTAATTTCAATTTAGAGAGAAAAAAAAATTATATTAATTAATGAAAAATATAAAAATATTTTTACAAAGAAATTTTTATAATTTTTAGAAATAAGAAATAGATGTAAAAGGATTCGTCAATCTCTAAATATGGAGTAAAATTCAATGTATATATATATACATACATATACACACACCATAAACGAGATTGTCATTCAGATTTCACACGTGACTAACGCGATAAAGATAACTCGTGTTTACCAACAGTGAATCGTAAAATAATATTGATATTTCCATGCCAACAACATCAAAATGTTAATACTCCCCACCTCGAATTAATTTAATTTATGCCAATCCATTTAATAAACGGTATCAATAATTAATTTAAAAAAAAAACAACAAATTTTCAGCTTTAAAATTAAAACAATAAATTAGTTCAATTCTCCTAAAAATATACAATTAAAAATTTCTTTTTTTTTTTTTAATAAAAAATAAAAACCGTTACGAAAGTGGAGTGTGAAATCCTTTAAAAAAAAAATTGAATCCAACGGCTTCACGACGGGAGTCTGGAAAGCATGTGCAAGCTTTTTTGCACACAAGCACGTGGATCTTAAAGGAGAGAAGTTTGACAAAAAAAAAAAAAAAATGCCTCAAATTGTGACTATATGGAACTCTTTCAACCAGATGGCTGAAATTCAACTGAATCTATATAAGAAATATATAATGATGAAATTATATCCAACCAATTGAAAGTGCAACGAATTTGCAATTAATCCACCAAAAAAAGGGGAAAATTATTGATAAATGACAAAAAAAAAAAAAAACCCAAAAATTAGAGGAGCAAAAAGAAACAACAAAAAAATAACTAACAAAAGGAAACAAAAATAAACAAAAAAAAAGAACAACGAAAATAAACGAAAAATAATAAACAAAATGTAAATAAAAAAAATGAAAACTGTACGAAAATAAATAAAAGTAAAAAAAAAAAAAAACGAGGTTGAAAACGAGGACAATTTTATATACGGAAGGAAATAAATGAAATTGAACAAACAATAAAAATCGGCAAAGAAATCAAAAGCTGAAAACTTTTTGCCAAGGAACCAAAGTATAATATAATATTATGAAGAAGTTGAAATTGCGAAATAAAAAGGGTGAATATCGAGGTCTATAAAAATGTCCATAAACCGAGACAAATGTTTATATATCGTGTGCAGCACTGCGAGCGAGCAAAACACACACACACACCAATATTCTATATATATATATATATATATTTAAAGGGAAAAGAAAAATTCCGAAATGAAAAATGTATTTTTACATCGAACTCGGTCAAATCTTTCCAAATAATAACAATAATATTAATATTAATAAAAAAAATTATTATTGTTATTTAACAACAGTAATAATAATAATAATATTAATTAATTAATAATAATAACAAAAAGAGAGTCAAAGATGCGCTTTCATCACAAGAATTTCTTTTCTTTTCATCGATAACAAATTAATGTATATACATATATATATATACATTTATAATAGTGTGGCTCGTGTCTTTGCTCTTGTGACACAAATATCCCGTCTCTCGCAGTTTATAAGACAAAGTCGTCTCGACGCAGTTCTTCTGCACTTTTTTAAATCCCCCGACGACCTCGCGCCCACGCGATAAACTTATATATATATATATATATATATGTATTATGATCTTCAAAGTTCTAATTGTACAAAAGATACAAACAACTCCTTTTAACGTATTCCCGCTAACTCCTCACACAATCTATACGAAATTTAACAAAAAAGAAAAGCATTTCCCCCCTGCCATACTAATTGAAACTAATTAACAGTACAAAAAAGTGCAAATTTCTCACACATTTCAAAAATAGTATAGGCATTAAAAAATACAAAAAAAAAAATAAAATAAAAATGCAAAAAAAAAAAAATGTCAGTTCAAATCTAAATATAGATAAAAATCAGCAGCTCTCTCGTATAATTCGAAAAATGAAATAATCTCATATAATAGGTTGATGGGTCAAATTAAAAGAAACTATATTACACGCTTGATTAAATTCTTTTATATATTATATATACAACACTGAATATTCAAGAAAAAAAAAATTAGCATAACTTTTTTTTTTTTTTTGAAAGCGAGAGCGCGACATGAATAATTTTCATCAAATTCTAGGAAGAAACGGGCGTATATATGAATGGGAGAAATGCTAATTTTATTAATTCTTTATCTTGCTCGAAATTTATATTTATAGGTTTTTTTTTCCAGCAGCAGATGGACCACTATTGTCTCGAAAATAAATCGGGTGCAAAACTATATAATTGTCGCCAGAGAGAGAAAGAGAGAGAGAAAGAGAAGAAACGGGACCCGCGGTGTTTCTTTTACTGCCATCGGTATATATAAGATTATAACCGTTGTACGCCTCTTCTATTACCTCGTAAAACAAAAACGCTTTACCGACATTTCATAGAGTGTACACTGGGAGAGGTCCTGCCACGGGGGATATTTTTTTCACTTTTAACACCAAGAGGAGAGAAAATGAGAAAGAAAGAGTGTAAGAGAGAGAGAGAGAGAGAGAGAGAGAGAGAGACCAGAAGGAGGTTTATTCCTGGATCCAATGACTTTGAAGTATTTATGGATCCAGCGCTATATTTCGTCATAAACAATTTTAGTTGCGTTTCATGCTCTCGTTGCGATTTGATTGTCTTCTTCGAAATTTTCAACTCTGTCCACTTCAACCACTACCGAAATATATGTATACTTCTTCGAAAATCATCGTTATATTTATTATATATATGTATCGGAAGTGAATTTTAAACTCCATAAATATAGCTGTGCGGCGAAGGTGACAATAGAAAATTAGAAAAGGTTTCATTTAAAAAAATTTTTTTTTAAATTAAGAAAAGAAATTTTTTTAAAACAGAAAATTATAAAATTAATCTCAATCTCTAAATTTGAATTAGTAGATTTCTATACTTAAATGAAAGAGTGCGTATTCATTTAGAAATATTGAATTAGTAACAATTTCTACTAATTTTTAGTAAAAAAAACTACTAATTGCTAGTAGAAAACTACTAATTCATGAAATAAATCGGCTTACTAATTTAAAATAGTAAAAAATACGATTTACTCCATAAATTAGTAGTTTTCTACTAGCAGTTAGTAGTTTTTTACTAAAAATTAGTAGAAACTGTTACTAATTCAATATTGGTAAACGAATACGCAGTAGAAAACTACTAATTCAGATTTAGAGAGCAAGTAAATATTTCTTTGGTTCAAGTAAATGTTTATTTGTTTCAAATAAATATTTATTTGATAACAGTCAAGTAATCGAGTATTTAAATCAAATAAATTTTTTCTTCAGTGTAATATAATAAGTATATTTGTAAAATCAGAATTGTAACAAAATAAATACAATATAAAAATAGGAAATAGAAAATATACTCTCTAAATCTGAATTAGTAAAAATGTTTACTAATTTGAATTAGTGACTCACTTTTCTAAATTAGTAAAATTTTACTAATTATTAGTAAATTTTACTAACAATTAGTAAAATTTAACTAATTCTAAACCAAAATGTAAATCACTAATTTAAATTAGTAAATATTTTTACTAATTCAGATTTAGAAAGTAGAAATAGAAAATAGAAAATAAGAAAATGTAGAAATAGGAAATAAGGAAATGTAGAACATAGTAAAAAACAAGAAGATAACAGAGAAGATATTAAAGACAAATTATGATAACAAAAAATATGATACAGTAAAGATTCGAGTGAAGAGATATGTTATATACATAATATATAGCAAAGAAGAGATGAGAGATGGACGATAAAAAAAAACAAATAATACAGACGATGATGCTTCAAACGAACGTTGACAACTTTGAAAAACGGAAGAAAATTTAATATAATAATAATAATAATAATAATAATAACAAAAAAGGAAATGAAAAGGCGTCGTTCTTGTCGTCGTTCGAAAGAGGATCGAGAAACGAAAAGAGATGTGGCTAGACAAATCTAAAAGAGTGGAGCCAGATTTAGCGTTGTAGTAAATCCGCCGTTAGCGCTTTGGCCTCCTCTTCCTGCAGACTCCAAACCAGTGGCGTAACTGCAATATCACTTTGATTTACTGCCAGGATATTGGTACCGTTTCAATTTCAGTTTACGATTTATATATAGTATAGTTCACGAGAGACAAAGTATATACACATCCCGAGAAGAAGAACAAATCCAACCTCCTCTCTATGGACCAACTAATCAACAAAATATAGATTTTTTTTTTTTCAATAAAATTCCAAACTAGAAAAAAAATCCATAAAATTTACAAAACATTTTCATCGACGTTCAGATTAAAAAAAAAAAAAAAAAAAAAAAAAAAATGATAACTATTTTCTATTTGAGTAAATTTTACAATTTTCATAACTTCGAATAATAAAAACTGCATTAAAAAAAAAAAAAAAGAGAAAAAAATCACGAGGACCAACAAATTAAACAAGTGATCAATCAAATTGCCATGAAAAAACATTATTGGAATGACGCATATCCTTAACGGAGAATGATCGTTTGATTAAATATATCGGGAATCGAATAAAAATACTTGGAGAATTAAGACAGCTGTCAAAGGCAGGATTCCTGATGAACAATAATATCCATGACTGGTTGAGAGTAAAAGAAAAAGAAAAAAAAAAACTGATCTCTCCTCGTCGTGAAAGAAAGAGAAACGAAGAGAGAAATATATAAAAAGAGAGAGAAAGACACAAGCTTCCGAATCTACAAGAAGAAGAAGAAGAATTGGATGGCAATTTTCTTGGAGAGCAAAGAGCGTTTCTTACGCCACTGAATTCAAGGGGATCGAGAGAAAAGAGAATTGTCAGAACTGAGGAGAAGAAAGAAGAA